TGGCAGATGAGGTGCAGCGAAATATGGAATACCGGCGAGTCCGTGCTGAAGATGATAAGATCCTACAGAAGCACGGCTACGGGAAACGATCGTCGCATGAGTAATATCAAATAATCTTTTGATTCATCGTTCTAAAAACAATATTCCGTGCTTTTGCAGGCCATCGATTGAGATTCAAGAGCCAGCATCGGACATTCGTGACGACGTCATCGAAGTTGCTGGATCGAGAGACAATCTGAGCACTGGCGAAAGGACTGTGGATGCAGCTGTTAGTTTTCTTGATTATTTAATTTGTTGGAGCCCATATGAAGCCTTTCGGATGATGTTTCTTTTGCGAAAATAATTGTTGGAATTTCATAGAGCCCACCACAAGTTGAAGCATTGGAACCGGTTGCTGAACTGCCGCATTCGCCAGCACCTTCAGCAAAGTCAACACCTCATACGACACCGAAAACAAGCATGAAATTCAAGAAGGTTAGTTTTGTTTGACTTTGGTGAGATTTCAGAGTTCATAGCAATTCCGAGACAATTCTTACATTCTGCAAACTTTAGGATGGTAAAGAAGGCAAGCCGTTTGAATTTGGCAAGAGCAAGTTCACATCGAAACATGAAGTAGTCAAACGAGGAAAGGATGTTGAAGTTAGTAAATATAAACCATTTTATATGCTATTTTTCAGACCTTTGTAAATCTTCATTCTATACCATAACACTCCTATTTATATACATGGTTCCACACCTTCATACAAGAAATTCAATGTATCTCTTTCCAGGTAAAATTGGAAAATCTCAAACTTTCAAAAGAAGATACGCTTCGCGTTGTTGTTCTGCGTAAGTGTAAAACTTCTCTTGTTTTTAGTTCTGGACATTGTTTTCCCTTTTTAAGCCCCTATGCGCGGACAAGCTGCTGCATCTGGTACTCAGCCAGAGCTTGAAACAAAGGTGAAAAAGAGCGGCAGCAAATATGAGATCTCATTCAGACCAACAGAAGTTGGAACTCATAAAGTAAGCTGTTTGCTTATTTAAAAACGATATTTTTTTGTTTTTTTGTCATTTTCGTCATATCGGGAACAAGGTTCGGCACAGCTGATACGGGTCAAGCTGGCTATCGTTTTTTAAAAAAGCCAAGGGATATTGTTTTTATGGCGGAAAAGACCAAAAATTGCGACGTTTTTTAGTCGACGTTTCGTTTTTTTGGAGGGTTTTTTAGTTTGGGGTTTAGGGACTTTTACCAAATTCTCAAGATCAAAGGGGACTTTGTTTTTTTCCCTATTGCCAGCTCCTGCCGAGCCCTGGTCGGGAACCTTTGTTCACAGTCCTCCTTACCTTGTTTATGATATTTTTCTTTTTCTAGGTGCTTGCTTATGTAAATGAGATCCAGCATCCACTTTCACCTTTCCCAATTCGTGTCTATGATTCTTCGGAGATCATCGTCGGCGAAATACCCGCCCGGTCGAATCTGAATGACACAGTCGAATTTACCGGTAAGTTTTGAATAAAAACAAACTTACCTCCCTAGAAAAATCCCGATTTCAGTGGATGCCGGTCGAGCAGGATTTGGCAATCTCGAAATGGCCATAAAAGATGCTGACGGTGTGATCATTCCATCACATGTAGCCCAGCTTGAAAGTGGTACAGCCAAGTTCCTCGTCACGTTTACCCCAACATCTCGAGGACAGCACACTGTCAACATTACTTTCAATAAGGAGGTGCTCAAAAGTGAGTCGTTCGGGGTGCGAGGTTGTCACCTAGACATTGTCAGAATAATTTCTGTTCTAGACTCGCCATTCGAAGTGCTAATTACCGATCCTCCTGCACCGCTGACGGAAACAATGACAGAAACAGCGTCGGCTTCACCTTCTCTTTCTAAGAAGGATACGAAAAGGGAGAAGGAAGATAAGAAGAAAGAGGAGAAGGAGCGTGCAAAGCGCGAGAAGGAGGAGAAGGCGGCCAC